CAATGCATGTAATCGGAACAACAAAGTACAGGGAATAAGAAAAGAATTGCCCAGCATCCTTTTCCGTAGGCGTGAAGGGAATCCTACAAAGAGCGGCAGTCCCGACTGAACAAAAAGTCAGGAGAAGGAAACAGCCGCTCTTGTTCAGCACCTCTGCTGCTTTTTAAACACCCGCCAGGCTATTAGTCAAAATTACTGTGATAAATGAGGTTGCTTGTTTATTTATCCAGTCTAAGTCCAATGGACAAGTTTCTGAGCTCTTACTCTCAGTGTCTGTACCTCTCCGGATTTGAGCAGGTAACAGATAGTTTACAGACTGGCTTGAATCAGAGCCACACCTGGGACTGCACTGCCCTGGAGCAGATCAGGCGGCCAGGGGCTCCAAATGCGGGATGGTGAGTGGAAGGGACAGGCATGGGAAATGAAAGTGAGTAATCTCCCTCTCTCTTTTCTCACCACCTCCTGACTTCCTTTTGGTTCCCTCCCTCTCTCTGGCTTTCCCTTTCACAACCCTTCACCTCCTCCTCCCCCACTGTCTCCTTGCTGTCCTGGCAGGTCAGGTTTACCCATGGGGAAACCAGTTCCAGCCAAACCGCACCAACCTGTGGCAGGTGAGTCATATGTTCCTCACCCCTGTCCCTTCTCAAAGCATTGACCGAAACCTCCTGAGGCTAGGCATCGTGTTGGGCCGTGGGACTGCAGTGGGCTTTGTGTCCTAATGGGACAGGTACCTGGTAAAGCAAAAGACAGTGTGGTAGATCTACATATCGAAGAGTTGCAGAAGTTAGTGACTGCCTGAGCTTGGTGGGGGTGACTTCATGGAGAAGATGACATTTGAGCTGATGGAATAGGAGTTTGCTAAGTGAAAATTGGAGGAAAGGGTGTTCACAGCAGAAGGAACAATGTGAGTGTCAGCACTGCATTGGGAAGGGTACCATGTGTTCAGAAATGGGACAAATTCAGAGAGGCTGGAGCCTAGGGAAACAGGAGGTATAGGAGATGAGGTAGACAGTGGGTTGTATGGTTTTCCCCGCAGGCATTGGGGAGCTGGTGAAGGTTTTTAAATGGGACTCACAACATCATTTGATTTGGGGAGGATGCTAGTCGCTCATTGGTGCCTAAGTGAAGTAGAGCTGCAGTGGGGGCAGGGGTGGGAGCTGTCTCTGAATTTGAGGCTGTGGCAATGGCCCAGGGGATTATGAACACGTGAATCAAGTAGAAGTGGGATGGAGAGGAAGCCAAATGGGAGAGGCATGGCCAAAAGATGGACGGGGTTTGGTAATTAATCAAAGTGGAGACGTGGGAGGGAGTTGGATTCAAGCATGAAACTAAGTTTGGGCAACAGGGTTATGGTGCTACCATCATCAGAATAGATGGTATGCAGTTGGGGTCAGAAGGATAGAACGTGATGGGTTTAGCATCAGCTTAGTTTAAGGTACCCTTGGGTCGTTTATGTGCTCAAATATTGGAAATATGAGTCTAGATCTATGAGTCTGGATCTTAGGACAGAGGTCTGGGTCAGAGCAAGTGGTTTGGGAGTCAGCAACATCTATCTTAGGCAAGAATGTTATCCCCCTGGGAATCCCTGTAGAGTGTGGGGTCGGAGGGCACGGCATCAGCATTTCAGGGGAAAGCATTAAAGTGGACCTGAGGGGTAAACTGATCTTTTAGATGATCTTGGGATCAGAGCTTTGCAGAAAGACAGATCTGAGTTACTTGCTATATGGTCTTTGATAAGTTAACCACTTTGAGCCTCAGTTGCCAGTTTCTTAAAAGGAGAAAATACTCGCCTCACAACCGTGCAAGGATGAAATTAAAAGAGAGAAATGTGGCAGCTGGAGCACAGAGTAGCTGTTGAGTAAATTATTACCCCTTCATCTTCCCTTTAGTGAGATCAGCTTCCATAGAGTAGGGGGACCTGAACCCCAGTTTTACTGAGAAGATTGAACAAACTGCATCAGCAAATACAGGTTCCTTTCCAAGCATTTTGGTGATAAGAACAGATGAGGACAGTAGAGTCAGGTCAGATGAGGGAGAGTTAAACTGTTGGTGGTAGGAGGGGAAGAGATGGTACAGGAGAGCACAGGGCAGGCATCAGTCGTCCTTGAGAAGGGAGGTGGTGCTGAGCGGAGAGGAGGAGCCTTCCCAAGGCACTGAAGCACGTGGCGTTCAAGGCTGAGAGGTTGAAGCTGCCGAGAGTGGAGAAAGTGGGAGTGGGTTGGGCTTGACGTACACCACTATGGGCACAGGGAAGCCACACATTTCCCAATCCAGTCAGGAGGTAATGGTGGAGGACATGAGGAAACAGGTTTGGGAGCTCAGGATGGGCATCTCAGTACACTGCCTCATGCCCTTCATCCTGCCCCAGGTGACCTTGGTTTTCCTCTGGGTAGGCAGGAACACCCACCTTGGAACAGGATGGTAAATGTTTGAGCTTAAATTTCTCCCCCTCAGGGAAGGTTCCCCAAGGATGACAAGGCTGAGGATGGCTTCCATGGAGTCTCCCCAGTGAATGCTTTCCCCCCCCCAGAATAACTACGGTAAGATCTCCCTCCACATTGCTGTCAACACTCACAAATTGGTTGGTGAGATCACTCTGCCTGAAGGATGAGGCGAGAGAAACACCACCAGGGAAGCATTTGATACCTATGGGGCAGGGGAGTGGGGGATGGTGCTGCCCAGCCTGGGACTGACCCACCTGCTGTGCTGCAGGGCTCTATGACCTCATGGGCAACGTGTGGGAGTGGACAGCATCTCCATACCAGGCTGCTGAGCAGGACATGCGTGTCCTTCGGGGGGCCTCCTGGATCGACACAGCTGACGGCTCTGCCAATCACCGGGCCCGGGTCACCACCAGGTGAGGAGCTTGGTAGCTGGGGGCTGAGGGTCTGGGTCTTGCTCTCCCAGAGCACAGGCAGCCCCAGAGCTGGTGCTGCTGCTGCTTCCACCCCTCAGTCTGCACCCCAAATTGTGGGTACAGAAAAGAGAATAAGCAGCATTTGCCATGAGAAGCAGAAGAACCTAGGTCAACTTGTGCCTTTTCTTGCCAGCTCTCAGCACCCAGAGAGACTTTGTGTCTCATAAGGGTTTCTCCTCTCGTCCTCGTAACTAGGTGGCAGAGGCAGGGGAGGGGAATGGCCACATCAGTACTAGGTCATGGCCCGTGGTCATAGAAATGCTCACCCTTCAAAGTGGAAAGTACATGAAAAATAATTTTCTATAACCATTTTACTTCACAGTCAAAATAGGTTCACAGAGGTGCTGGGACCTGCTCGTGTCACACAGATGGGTAGTGCTGGTGCCTGAATGGTAGAGTCCCAGGCTCCCGAGTTCCCTGCTGGGACTCTCTCTGCTTTGCTCATCTGTAGGGTTATTTGGATGATCTCCCTCTGACTCCTCCCATTCCTGGGTTCCATAAGGACCAGAAAGAGACCACAGTTTCTGTGGCCTCGGGAAGTCAGGTTTGCAGCTGTTTTTTTGGTACATTAAGGCCCTGGCTTTCCCTTACCTCCTTTTCTAGGATAAAGTAGTAGGGAAAGTACTGCCTGGGAGCCAGGAAGCTGGGTTTGCCACTGAATCTCTTGTGCCCATGAAGCATTGGTTGGCCTTGGCCAAGACATTTAAATCTTCCTGGTATCTGATTCTGGGTCTGTAAAGTGGTGAACAAACCTGCCTGCTGGAAGTGTTGAGAAACGGCAAATGAAGGAATATATGTGAAAGTCCTTTGAAAAGTATGAAGTACTCACTGGCACATGATATTCTTGCTTCTTACTAACAGGTTTGTCTTGGCTGAGTTATTCCGAACTGTGAGCAGTCGAAGTTACTAGTCATTGCCTTTCTTGCCTTCCAGAGCAGACTCCAGGGCTACGCACTCCCACTTCCTCCACCCTATCCCAAGTCCCTTCTTACCCTTTTCCCCAGGAGTGCCCTCATACCAGCGTTCTTTCTAGTCCCTGCCCTCAGTCCTTAGGCACCCTGGACCACAGCAGGCCCTAGGAGGTTGAGCAGGAAAGTTGGCTAAGGCTCCAGGCCCCTTTCTCAACAAATGTCCATTCTCTTTCCTCTTCTCTGGTGGCAGGATGGGCAACACTCCAGATTCAGCTTCAGACAACCTAGGCTTCCGCTGTGCTTCCAGTGCAGGCCGACTGCCTGGGGAGTTGTGAACAGCCATGCAGAGCCGAGAAAAGCCCGGTGGTACCCATGTCACTCCCTGGCCACATTCCACACAGCCAAACTCCAGTCTCTTCAGCTTCAGCCTCAAGAATGAGTTCCCTCCCCTTACCCCATCCCTCTGTGGCAGGCATCTCTCATCAGGCCAGGAGAGGACTCTGACCTCAGAGGAGGGGTACCACTATCTCTTGAAGAAGGGGCCTGACTCAGGGATAGTGGCCCCAGAGCTGGCCGTTTCTCGTAGAGGTATTAACCATATAGGGCCAGTCCTTAAACATCTGGGGCAGAATGCTCTGAAAGGCCCATCGTCAGAAATTTTTAAATCTGTTCCCTCCCCCTTTCTCAGTGCCTGATGCAGGGATCCAGCATTGTTTTCCGAAGACAGAATTTCCCCATTTTTCTTTGTTTTCCCAGTGAACTGCTGTGGAAGGAAAATCCATCCTTCATTAGCCTCATTTGTGGTGTCTCATGTGCCTCTGGAAGAACCTGATTTCTGCTGTTGGTCTGTAGAAGGCGGTAGCTGGGCTCCTTGAAGCACAGTGCGAGTCTTAAAAAGGTCTCAGAGAACTGAATTATGGACTAGACAAAACTACATTGTGGGAGTCACAAAGCAAGTAACACTCCAGAGAGACAAATAACCAGAGCCTTCCTTTTCTATTTCTATTATTAATTAAACGAGGGCTTCCATATGCCTCTAAACACATGTCCCTGGAAAGGAACCTGCTTCCATGGTGTCAGTGGGTGTTGCGGGGTCAGTAAAATTTCCATGATTGTGTATTTCAGACTGTCCTCTCTTTTACCCTCCCCCTGGAACTCTAAGGGAAGTACCTGTGAGTGTCAGGAACTCTGGGCCTCAGGGAAGGACCTGAGATGGTGGTACAGCTGGGAAGGAGAGAAGCAGGAAAGCTCTCAAACCCAAATGCTAGTTGCCCCCCCATGGGGCCTGGCCCTGACCACACTTAAAACGTGTGATAGGAGCACCCTGCTCTTCTTGTGCAGAGCCTCTGAGAGGGGATGGTGGCCCTAGTGCCAGGGGTCCTGACCAGGGCCAAGTGCCCCCTGTGGATAGAGGCCTGGGCATGGTCTTACTCCTCAACTTACATTTCTGTGGCTTTCCCTCCTTGCCTGTCGCCCACCCTACCTACCCCGCCTGCCAGCCGCTCAATAGTCTTCCTCAGCCAGGGAAAGGAGCACAGCCTTGGGTGTGTTCTCGAAGAGGGCAGCCCGGTTCTGCTGCTGTCCCTTCTTCACCCAGTGGCCATACATTCGGAAAGCATAGGCGTCGATGAGTCGGCGCAGAGGCCGGAGGGCGTAGGGGTCACGGATGACAATTTCCCGGGTCACAGGCTTCACCCGGCGGTACTGGTAGTAGATCCGCACTGAAGCCAGTACTGTTAGAGCGATCACCTGTAGAGAGCCAGAAGTGAGAAGCTGGCCCCAGCCCCTGCCGGCCTGTCTCCTTCCCCCTCCGAAGCAGAGAGTCCCTGAGCTCGTTTGCCATGAAGCCTGTGTTCCTACTGCTGGACACTCCCTCGTGTTCTCCCTACCATCCCAACCCCTGTGGCATCTGCAGAGATGTAGGCTGTAGGAGCCAGGTGGGGGACATCTGCCTTCTCTGAATTCAGAAGTTGAACTGGAACCATCACGGGGATGGGTGGAGAGGGGAAGGGCAGGTGCTCTGGAAGCCCTGGGGGTAAAACGAATCCCTGGGGGAAGGAAGGGGACTTGGGGGCTTGGACTTGAGGAGTCCTGCCCCAGGGCCCTGGGTGAGAGGGAAGCTTCAGTACCTTGAACTTGCCCCGGGGGCTGAAGTGACGCACTTCTTCTACCACATACTGCTGGAAGAAGGGATGCGCTAAGGCCTCTTCTGCTGAACAGCGGCCCTGGGGGTTCACCACCAAGAAGCGGGAAACCTGAGAGAATAAGGAAGGGGAGCTGAAAACACCAAAGCAGGGTCCCCGCTAGCACTTGACAAGACAGAAGGTCTTCCCAGCAGGGTCCCCCGTTCTGTAGCACAATATGCCCCCCACTCCCAGCAGGCCTGGCCTCTCACCAAGTCCTTCACAGTGTCTGAATAATCATCCCATTCAGGCGAGCCAAACTGGTAGTTGCCACTCATGATCATCCTCAGCATCAGCATCTGTTTCCGGTGCCAGAAGGGCGGGGAGCCCGCCAGCAGGGTGTACATGATGACCCCTGTGCTCCACCTGGCACCAGGGAGACAGGGAGGAAGGCGGGAGGGCTGGCGGTAGCTCCTGCCATTTCCTCCCCTCCACAACCAGGTGCTCCCAGCCATGGGGACACCCCTGTCACTGTGGGTCACTGTCTTCCCCAACGTACTCACATGTCCACCTCCTTCCCGTAGCCTGGGTGGTCATCGTTCATGGAGCATTCAATGATCTCAGGGGCCAGGTAATTGGGGGTCCCACAGACCTCTGCAGGAATAGTTACCATCGGGATAGGTCAGTAGGGGGCACTTGGAAGAGGAAGGTCCAGAGAAAACAATGGTGGCGTGGTGATAAAAGTGACCGGGTGTTTGGGCTGGGATTCTTCTAACACTGACCAACTTCAGGACCAAGGGCAGGGACTGGGTACTGGCTCCTAGGACCGCCTGCCTGGGCCTGTGGTTTCGTGGCCTGGAACACCAGCAGTGGGAACCTGGCCCAGCCCTGGGATGAGGCTTACCCGAAGAGACACCTAGCCTGAAACAGTAGCATTTTTATTCTGGGGTGGGGGAGGACTTGGGGGAGAAATGCAGGCATTTTCTGTTCCTGGAAGTGTGGATGAGAGAGCCTGAGCCTCTGGCATGGGTCAAGGCCATGTTACCAGACCTTGCAGCTTCTCTCCTGGCTCCAGCTGGCAGGAAAAACCAAAGTCTGTGAGCTTGATGTTCATGTCGTCATCCAAAAGGATGTTCTCAGGCTTCAGATCCCGATGCACAATGTTGAGTTTGTGCAAGTTGCGGATAACCTCCAGCAGGGCTCTCATGATCTTCCTGGGGTGGGACAGGCACATGTTACACTCCGCTCCTCCTCTGCAGGGCCAGGTCTCCCAGGAGGGAGACGAAAGCCCATGTACCTGCCAGACTGCCAGTGAGGGAGGACTCCGGACAGGCTGGCGGGAGGCTACAAAAGCCTGCAGCACACCCCAGCCCAGAGAAACGCATGCTGTGCCCCCTCCAAGACCTTAGTGGTGGGACCACTTGTGCTCTGGGACAGAGAGTGGTGATGGGGGCAGGTGGATCCTTACCTAGTTTCCTTCTCACTCAGAGTGACCTTCTCAGTGAGGTAATCGAAGAGCTCCCCTCTCTTCATCCTGTGGGGACAGAGTGTTTGTAGCTGGATTGGTTCCAAGTCCACCCCTCCTTATCCTGCTCCCAGGGACCTATTTCCTACCCTCATATCTCCAGAGACAAGGTGGGCCACAATAAAGGACCAAGGGCTGCAGGGAAGAGCTGGGGACATGAGTAGAGACGTTGTCTAGGAAGATTAAGAGAGCAGGGGAGGCTGAAGGGGTGGGATGGCAGCAGTGTCGGGGTCCCCTGATCTGTGGAAGTCACAGCCCAGACTGGGATCTGTCAGTGTCAAAATCAGGGCTGGGGGGTCGCCTGGGTGGCTCAGTGGGTTAAGCCTCTGCCTTCGGCTCAGGCCATGATCTCAGGGTTCTGGGATCAAGCCCCACATCGGGCTCTCTGCTCAGCAAGGGGCCTGCTTCCTGCTCTCTCTCTCTCTCTCTCTCTCTCTCTCTCTTTGTCTCTGCCTACTTGTGATCTCTGTCAAATAAATAAATAAAATCTTTTTTAAAAAAAATCAGGGCTGGGAGGTGAAAGAGGGACCCCGAGCCACTGGTCCAAGGCCCCAGATCCAGAGCAGAAGGGCAGAAGTACCCTGATCTTTCCCAGGAACGAATGGTAGAAGCCATAGTGCAAGTGCTGAGGGAGCAAAGTCTGCTTATTTTAGGATTAAGAATTATGGTTCAGTCTTCTCACTTCTTGGGATGACGTGGAAAGAGGTCGCTGCTAGAACAATCTGGTTAGACTCTGGAGGGCAACTCAGGACAGCATTAAAAATAGCTTCCCCGAGCGACTTCTTCAAAGGTTAGGGATATTTGAGCTGCCCTCAAGGGCTCTAAAGGACCATGTTACTAAGCAGAGTTGGGACAGCTGCGGCCGGTTAAGTCTTGGGGGTCCTGGGAAAGTCTCCCCTGGTTAAATAGGAAAGATGCGTCCTGCCCCCTCCCAGCTACCCCTCCAGGGAAATTAGTTTGATTCCTAAGGCACAAGGGATTTTGGCCCATGGCACAGAGGCAAGAAAACCCTTGAGCTTAGCTGGTGGAGGTGGAAGGGGGCCTCTTTGAGGAGATAACCCAGAATTTACAGAGGTGAACCTTACTTGCACGATACCTGTACTGTGTTCCTAAAAGGCTATGTGTGAATCCAGTTTTTATCATTCTAATTCCATTTTAAAGACACTAGGAGAATTCACTGTTAGCTGCAGAAAGATTTACCAGTAAAACTGGGTACTGTGCAGGGTGCGATGGGCTGTGGCTTCCTGGAGGTGGCAGTTGAACCGCACACACCAGCCAAGCTACACTGTGTCTCCGAGCACAATAACCCTGCTCGTTCTACAGTATGGCTACAGTATGAAACATTCTAACAAGACAAAATCTACTTGAGTAATTTCCTCAGGTAAACCCAGTCCCTAAATGAGCCGTTATGTGTGGAGAAATCAAGACGCCGCCACAGCAATGCCGCACGCGGGGAGATGCACATTCTTCAGTGAGGACTCGGGAGTGGGGGAACAGGGAGCTGGAGACCTCCCTTCCCTGGGACGCTTTTCTAATAATGATAGTAGGTCTGAATGCATTGTTCACAGAGCACTTTGTATTGTTGGAATTTAATGCTGAGAGCCTGGGGGATAGGCAGAGTGGTTGGTGTCATTTTTCCTTTCTTGAGAAAACAGAGGCTCTCAGAGCTAACACTGACAAGGAGCTCATCTTGTGAGCCCTAGTGGTGCAGAAGCAGGGGAATAGTGACATTGATGATGACAACGATGATGTCGTTCTTTGAGCCACACCCCAAATATAGCCTTTACCACCTGCTTTCCTGGGCCTCTTACACCAATACTGAGGGTCTCCTCCTTCCCACTCTTGCCTCCTTACAGTCAGATGGATGCTTTTCAAAAGTAAATCAGATCCCATCACCTTCCTACTCTCATCCCTCCAAAATCCTGACTCTGGCTAACATGCCTGCAAAATCTGGTGTTCGGTCCAGACCGACCTCACATTCTGCCAACACCACAGGCTTGCTCCCCGCCCCCACCCTGGCTTCCCGGAACATTCAAAGCCCACCCAGCAGGGCCCTTGCTTTGGCTCTTCCTTCTGCCCTTCTGCGGAGCCTTCTCCAGGTCTTGGCTCCGATCCCTCCCTCGCTTTGTCTGGGTCTCTACTTAGGTCACCTTCTGGGGAGCGTTCCCTGGCCTGTCGTTCCATCTAAAGAAACCCCACCTCTCTCTAAGCCCTGTTTTGGCTCATGTGTCTGTACATGTACGTAACTGTGCGTGTGTTGTGGCTGACTTTATTGCTTTCTCTTCACTCTCTGAAAATCATTCCACGAAGTCAGGAACCTTATATGTCTTGCTCATTGCTGTAGCCTCCGTGTCTAAAATGAGGGTTGAAGGACCGTTGTAGTTAATAATTCATAGCATTTACATCCTGCCGTTTGCTGTGCTATTATTACTTCTGTAATACCCATGAGAAAACAGACACTGAAAGAAATCATTGGCTTCTACATGGTGGACACAGGACTCGAGACCTGGCAGCCTGACCCCCGGGGCTGATCTCCCTAACGCACTGGAGACCGTATTTGGCCTCCACAGTGTAGGGAGCTGGCTGTTGAGCTCCAGGAAGCACTGGATAGGGGACCACAACAGGAGGTTCTCCGACAGGCCCCAGGGTGTGGCTGGCTCTGGGGCTGGGTACTTACAGATCAAACACCAAGAAGAAGAAAGTGTTGGTCTCATAAGTGTCCTTCAGCTGTACTGAAATGGAAATGACTAACTCGTGTCAGGTAGCAGAGGAGCCTGGGCAGAGAGGCAGCAGGGGTAGAGGAGCAACAGGGTTAAAGCTGCTTGGACCGCCCTCAGAAGCTGGAAGGGGCATCAAAATGCTGTTCAAAGTAGGACCGCTAAGGGAGGGGCCCGCCCAGGGACTTCACGCTCCCATTCCCGACCTGCAACTAGCCCCAGCCCTGCTTGCGAGCCCTTCCGTCCGGCTGGAAGAGGAGGCTTAGAACTGAATCTCCGCGGCGGAGAGCATGGAGCTGGGAGCCTCACGCCTCAGGGCACCGGGCTGGCGGGGTTTCGGGGGCAGGAGACGCGCCGGTGGTTTTGGCTGGCTGCACAGTGGGGCCGCGCTCCCAGACTTGCGTTAGTAGAGCAGAATCATGGTGGAGCACCCTGCTGAGGCCTAGGGCCATCACTCACCGATGTTGGGGAGCCCTGAGACCTTGTGCAGGATGTCCACCTCCTTCAGCGTGGCCTCCCGCAGCTCCTGCACCTCCTTAGGGCTGAAGCTGCCTCCACCAGTGATGTCAATGATCTTCACAGCATACTCCTGGCACGTGGGCTTGTGAATGCAGCGCCTGACAACACTGCTCACTCCTCTGGGGGTGCAGAGGACAGGTGGTTCCAGGGCCCACTCACCCCAGGGAGAATCCCAGGTCTAAGCCACCACAGAAATGTCCTTTCTTGTCCACCAACTCCCTGTGAGCTTGGTGGAAGGGTGGGATGAAGAAGATAGTTGGAGAGTGATTTGTCTGGAGCTGCTGAGTAATAAGCCTGGTCTTAGGACCCTTGACTCCTAGTTCAGTGCTTTTTCCCAGCACCGAAGGCCATAATCTTCCCTCTGACCCCTAATCTCCGACACTTGCACAAAACTGGGTTTGGATGTGCTTGACGACAGCACCGGGAGAGCTCTGCTGGGAAAGGTCTCTTACCTGGATGCTTCTATACCCTTCTCATCTGTTCTGGTTCAGGAGGGCAGGACCCAAACTAAGGGTTTCTTCAAGGGGATAATGCTTTGGGGATGGAAAAGGGTTGGTGCTCAGGGCCCATGGAACCGGCTGGAGCCTAAGACAGCACTTCCTGGGGAAGGTCTGGGCCTTACCTGCCCAGGATCTCCTTGGGCTCGTAGTTCTCGTAGAAGCCCTGGGCTGAGTACGAGTCTGGCAGTGCCTCGTCCCGGGTCATGCTCAGCAACTCAGGGGTGATTCTCAGGGGCTCTGAGGGAGAAATAGAAAGATGCCGTCAACTGAATTCTACCCCTGAAACTAATATTACACCAGGTGTTAACGAAATTGAATTTAAATTAAAAAAATTTTTTTTTTAAAGATTTTATTTATTTATTTGACAGAGAGAGATCACAAGTAGATGGAGAGGCAGGCAGAGAGAGAGAGAGAGGGAGGGAAGCAGGCTCCCTGCTGAGCAGAGAGCCCGATGCGGGACTCGATCCCAGGACCCTGAGATCATGACCTGAGCCGAAGGCAGTGGCTTAACCCACTGAGCCACCCAGGCGCCCCTAAATTAAAAATTTTTTAAAAAAAAGGAAAAGAAGCGGCTGTTAGCCCTCTTGATCTAGGTGGTGTGCCCTTTGAGGGCTGGGCCCTTTCTCGCTCATCTGTATCACCTGGCACAGAGCAGGCCTATTGTGAATGCTCAAAACACCTGCACCTTCCCACTGGCTGTAAATTTCTGTGAACCCCAGGCAAGCACGTGGCTCCGGGAATGTTCTGGCTGTAAGCTGCTGTTCCGACAGCAGGTGGTCGGCCAGGCCTAAGCCCAGGCTGGAGGCAGGAGGCTGGGCCAGAGGCAGGAGGTTGGGCTGTCAGCCCTCAAGGTCAGCTCTCATGAGGCCGTCACACCCTTGAATCTAGAAAGAACTCCAGAGAAACCTTGCAGGGGACAAATTAAAGGGCTGTCTCCTCTCTTTGAGGAGATGAGGGTGGTCCTGCTTTCCCTCTGCTTGTTCTCTGCACTTCTGAGAGATGAGAAGCTTCATGATTTCCCTTCTTAATATGGCAGTCCTATAGCCTCTCTCTGCCACCTGCAGTCATAACTGTCCTCCCCTGGAAACTCCCCTCCTTCCAAGACACACTTCCTGTGCTTCCCACTGTTCCTTACTCATTCTGCCCTTATCCAGGACTTTCCTAACCTTCCCTCCTCCCTCCTGTCCTCCCCTCCTTCCACCCTCCCTTCCTGCCTGCCTGCATTCTGCTGTCCCTTGCTCCATGTCTCTCTCTCTCTCTCTTCCTCTTCTTTCTTCCATACTCCTCGAGAAGCCCTCTGCCTGGTGCTCAGAGGGATGCAGAGCTTAATGGTCCCAAGCTCTGGTATCACTCGTCAGTGGGTGGTGTCACCTCCTCCATTTGACTGATCTTATCTAGGATGTCCTAGCCATTCCTCCCCACCTGTGCCCAGTGCTGCTCCCTGAATGTGAGTCAATGGTTGGAGGTATCCCTTTGGCTCAGGGTCCTGATGGCAGAATGGACCTGTCCTCAGAATGCCCCATGTCCTACCAAAATATTGGCCAGTGAGCCCTGTGGCAGGTACTGCCTTTCGGGGCACTACCAAGCCAGGATATACCGGCCGGACACAGAGCTGCTGAGCTAGCTGGCTTTGCCGCAGGAATATGGAGGCCACCTACCCACGAGGCCACCTAGTACCTCCTACCTTCGATATAGGATTTGAGGGACGGAGAGAATCATCTACCGACAGGGGGAGGGGCGGACAGAAAATGGGCACAAGTTCACACTCAGTAGGGCCAAGCCGGCCTTTGGTCTCACTTCTACTGCCCTTTCTGGGTTCAAGAAGGCCTGGTCTATCCAAGGGGCCAATTTTCTGACCAGCCAAGTGGGGCTAGCTGTTCCAGGAAGCCTGGTGTCCCCACTGCTGGGTGCCTGGTTACCAGAGGAAGAATTAGAACAACAACGGTCTCCTTTGCCAAGAGAAGGCTCCCAGGCTGCTACAGGCTCCCCAGTCAGCAACCCCAGCTGAGCACAGAAATATCTGTTACTGTAAAAACAAGCCTATTTCCTTGCAAGTCCTTTTAAACTCCCAAGATGGGCATCTGTGCCCCCCACCTGCCACGACTGAGTAGCACACCATCTCTCCCTTTCCCCAGCCCTCCACAGGCAGAGGGTGTATCTATCTGGACCACCCCCACTGCAAGCCCCAGAAGCCATCCAGGCTGGGGTCTCCATTCCCTGGCATGACGAGCTTCACAGACTTCTGGCTGCACTCACCTCTCCTGGGGTGGGGCAGGAGGGCCAGCCCCTTGCTCTAGGCCTAACTTGGGGCCATCTTTGGGCCTCTGTCCATGGCCTCCATCCATACCCCCCACACCTTTCCCAAGACTTCTTTGGGAAGGGTCCCCAGATGGGAGTAGGTTACCTGATTCTTTTTGGAACAAAACATCCCTCCCCCAAGCTCAGAGAGTCTGAAAATACAGGGAACGTGCTCTCTGTAGGCAAATACCCTGAGGGGGGCTTCAAGAGTCAGTGGTGTCACTCTGCATCCATCTGCCCTCAGAAGAGAAAAGTGGGTCTAACAGCTCTTGGGGTTTCTGTCTTCTCTGCCGCAGAGCCTCTCCCTCTCTCTGCCTGTCGCCTGGCTTTTGTCCATCACCCTCTCAGCTACTCACTGTTAGGTCCTCGCAGGCCCTGGAGTGAATGTGACAGGAATCCTGAAGTTCTCAGAGCTCCTTGGGGAGTGGGGACAATTGAGCGCTGAAGCGGCTCCCCCGCAGACGCTCGTGGCCACGGTAAGATATCTTGCTGCTCCTCCTTCGGCTTTCGGGCTTTGCTACTTGGTGACGGAAGGCTGATGTACCAGAAATAAATCACAACTGCAAACCTGGGATGCAGGCCAAGGCCTGGCAGGGGCCAAGTCTTCCCAGGAGGTGACCTCTGCTGGAGGGTGAGGGAAGCTCGGGCAGCCTGGGAGCAGTCAGGATAGCAGAGGTGACCTGTCTCCCCTTTGGAGCTCCCTCGGCCCCTGGGCCCTGAGTAGACAAAGCCAGCCTTGGTGGGAATGCAGTCACTTCTTTGGGAGCCATTTCTGTGTATGTTGAGAGCAGGGCCCTGGAGAAACCCAAGCACTGGCAGACCCATAGAGCAGACACTGGGGCCCACAGAGGAACGGTTAGTGTGGCTGATCTGCAAAATGCAGACCTTAAAGGTTAGGGAACATCCCCCTTAGGAATCCATCTCTGATCTACCTCCATGATTTCATCCTTAACCCATTTGGTTTTCAGCCTGTGGGCTATTGGGTGGAGCTCCCGGTGCCAGGAAAAGCATATGGGCTCTGACAGTGTGCGCCATTGGGCTCTTTGGGTGAGGGTCCTCATCAGTATAATTAAGAGGTTGACAGAATTGGAAAAAGTGTATGGAAGGTGCTGGCACACAGTAGACACTTACTTATTGCTCTCTCGTCCTAAAGCTACTCTTTTTTTTTTTTTTTTTAAGATTTCATTTGTCAGAGAGAAAGCACAGGCAGGGGGAGCAGCAGGCAGAAAGAGAAGCAGGTTCCCGCTGAGCAAGGAGCCCGATGTGGGACTCGATCCAGGACCCTGGGATCATGACCTGAGCTGAAAGCAGACACTTAACCGACTGAGCCGCCCAGATGTCCCTAAAACTACCTTTTTCCAAATCCCTAATTCTAATAGAACAAATGAAGGGAGGGGTAATGCAGTGCTCCACACAGAGACTGAGCCCACAAGCATGCCTGGTTAGCATTTCACAAAGCACTTGCACCCCAAAACTCTGGTGTTAAGCCCATGGTAAAGAGAATGTGACTTGCTCAAGGCCACTAAATAGGTAAGAGGTTCTAGACTGATCTCAGCTGTGGCCCCAAGTGCTCTTTCCGTTATTCATGTTGACCATCTGTTTCTTCCCCTGGAGAGATACTTGCTGGACTGCTAGAGATGCAGGAGCGGAAGTGACTTGGGGTCTGTGCATAAAGGCTTCTGCTTGCTGAGACGCAGCATCTGGCTCAAGATGAAAACACTTCACTTACTGTCACTAAGCTCCCTGATCCCTTCTGTTGTCCGATGATAAACTACAGACTTGATTTCTGCTTTATACTTTGTGTTTAACAAAATCCCTTCTAACCTCAGGGCAAAAGGCCAATGTATCTAGTGGATTATTCCTGTCTCTTTGTAGCCATGGCTTCTACCAGAGAGAGGCCAGGCCAGCCAGACTCTTGCATTTATTGATGTCAGCAGTTCATTTTCCTTTTAATTTTTTTATTTTACTTAAATTGTCACGTACTAATTTCAGGGGTAGAATTCAGTGATTCATCAGTTGCATACAATGCCCAGTGCTCATTACTCCAAGTGCCCTCTTTAATGCCCATCACCCAGTTACCCCATCTCCCCATCCACCTCCTCTCCAGCAACCCTCTATTTGTTCCTCATAGTTAAGGGTCTCTTATGGTTTGTCTTGTTTTCATCTTTTATTATTCCTTCCCTTCCCGTGTTTGTTTTCTTAAATCCCACATGTGAATGAAATCATATGGTATTTGTCTGACTTTTGTTTAGCATAATACCTTCTAGTTCCATCCACATCATTGCAGATGGCAAGATTTCATTCTTCTTGACAGCTGTTTACTTTTTTTTTTTTAAACAAACTCTACGGTCAATGTGGGGCTTGAACTCATGACCCGAAGATTGAAAGTGACATGATCTACCCATTGAGCCAGCCAGCTGCCCCATTTTGCCTTGATTCATTGATTCAACAATATACTATTAGGGTGGGGCACCTGGGTGGCTCAGGGGGTTAAAGCCTCTGCCTTCGGCTCAGGTCATGATCTGAGAGCCCTGGGATCCAGCCCTGCATCAGGCTCTCTGCTCAGCGGGGAGCCAGCTTCTTCCTCTCTCTCTGCCTGCCTCTCTGCCTACTTGTGATCTCTGTCAAATAAATAAATAAAATCTAAAAAAAAAAAGAATTTAAAAAAATACTATTAGGGTACCCACCATACACCATTACACCTTGGACATAAGGGACAGTAACACTATGAATTTAGAAGTCCTGAGGTTTCACAGAAACGGGTGCTGGGGGGTTTACCAGGAGTGAATTGGCAGTGGTGATTCAGGCAAGGTGTTCTTGGCTCCTTTCAGGAACTCAGTGAGACTGGAACACTCTAGGGGCACCTGGGTGGCTCAGTCGGTTAAGCATCTGCCTTTGGGTCAGGTC